GCAGCGCTAAAACTTTTCCTGAGATAAGAAAAAGTAAAAAAAGCATCACCTTTAGTAAATAAGCCCCAACCTGAATGTAAAGAAAGTTTCCCCTGTTTGTTCCTTCAGGGCCCATATTTACACACTCTGATTAGAAGTTCAGATGACTTTAAAGTGGAGGACAAACAAAATAATCTGATAAGATTATCTGATCAAATGGTTGGTTTGTTTCAGAAGCTTTCTTGACAAGATCATAAAAGAAGATATACAGATGTGATCAATTATATTTTATTAAACTTGATCTGAACTTTTTTGATATGATTTTTAGATAATTATTAAATGTAAATAATTTACATTTAAATAATAATTTTCTTACCATTATTTTAAGTTAAAGTAAAGATCATTTTTCCGCATGTTTGAAAATGATTGTGATTTGAAATGCGGGGCAGCAGCACCCTCTTGTGTTGGCAGAAGGAAGTGCAACATGACGGTGATCAACAGAACAAGTTTTATTTAGCTCTTAAGAAATAAACTCTGGGGAAAATAGTTAAAATAATTTCAGAATTAGCATGGTTAAGATTAAGAAAAAAAATTAAAATTATTATTTATAATCTGAATTTGACAGCTGTTTGCATTGAAAAGCCCAGAAACCACCAACCAGTCTGTCTCGTCAATTTTAAGCTTTCTGGCTCCCCCTAGCGGCCGTTTACTTTACTGCTCATAGACATTAAAAACCCCTCGAACAATTTTTTAAAAAACATATTTTATTTGTTCAGTAAGTAACCAGCATCATATAAAAACAAATTTATATATATATGGATATATAAACACTGAATAAAAACATTTTAAAATAGCAGAAATCCCATTTGAAATGAAAAAGCGATGTCTGGTTAAACCTGTTTCAACCTGTTGAAGCTTTCGGGTCGGTTTTTATAGCAACCGAATATAAAACAGCTGACAGTGAAAATAATATAAAAGAAACACAACTAGGATATGAACCTATAAGCAGCATTTTGTTTACAAATAAGCATTTAAATATTTGTAGTTTTACCCCAAAAGCAGCAGCGATACAAACAGCAACAGACTCCATGTTTCTCACTCAAACGTCTTGAAAGTCTTGAAAACAATATTTTCAGAGAAAAGTGGAAAAAAGTGAAAAACTCAAACATAGTTGTGGCGGATCAAACTTTGTTATTGTAAAAAAAAACCTTTGAAGACTTATTAAAAATGTTTCTGGTTTTTATTTGTGTCTGAAGATTCATAATATAACCTCACCGGTGCCGTTTCTTAAAACTGAAATTAAACCGTTGTTATATTATGAATTTTTTAAAAAAAGTGATGATTTTTACTTATAAACTGTTTTTCTGAGGAACTGAAACAACTTTAAAATTTAAAGTGTTAAAAAGCCTCAGTATTTTGTAGAAGTTCAGTGTCGACACATAATGTTTAAGTCAGTCAAAAAGCCCGCTGCCCTTAAAGCTGCAGTACGCAACTTTTCTAAAAAAAAAAAATATTTATTACATATTTATTGAAAGTTTGGTTTAGTGTGATCATTTCTTCTAAACTCTGGTTTAGATGTTCAGGCCGTCGTGCCTCAGGGCGTAGTATTTGGACCTGGATCCTTTGTGCCCCGGCTCCCTGCCACTTCCTCTCCTCTCCTCCTCTTGCTGCTGGTCTCCGGCGGCTCTATCGAAGCGTCTCCGGGCGCTCTCCACTCTGCCGCTCCGCTCTTCATTCTCCCTAACACGATGGTTCGTCTTCCTCGGAGACTCTTGGTCTCTGTGGCTTCGATGCGAGTCTTTTCGTCCCGTCTCCTCCCCTCCTGTCCTCCTCCAGCTCTCTCTGTCTCTGTGGTGATTTCCCCTCTCCTCCCTCCTTTCTCGTGTTTTTCTGTCTTTCTCGCTCCGGCTGCTGTGTCTCCTTGATGTCTCAGTTCTCCTCTGGGTTTTCTCCTCCTCTGCATGTTGGATCGTTGTTTTTCTGCTCTTTTTCAGGCTTCGTTTTGATTTCTGGGGTTTTGTTCGGTTCTTCTTTAGTCTTTCCAGGTGACGTTTGGGTCCCAGTTTCTTTCTCTTTCTTGCTTCCTTTCTCAAATTGTTTTTTTTAAACGTCTTTTTCTGCTTTCACACTTGTTTCATTTTCCTTCTCAGATATTTTCTCACCTTTGTTTTTTATCTCCACTTCTTGTTCCTTTGCATTCTTTTCTTCCTTTCTCTCTTTCTTTATTTTAAAAATGTCCAACACCGACTCTTTGCTCTTCTTTGGCTCCTCATCCTCCCTTTTTACTTCCACATCTTTATCCTTCATGCTCTTCTCCTCTTTTTTTTCTTTCGTTATTTTATAGATATCCGACGCTGTCGTCTCTTTGCTCTTTTTCGCCTCCACCTCTTCCTCTTTTTCCTCCACTTCATGTTCCTTCGCGCTCTTCTCTTCCTTTTTCTTTATTTTAAAAATGTCCAACATTGATTCTTTCTTCTTTGGTTCCTCATCGTCCTTTTTCTCCTCCATTTCTTCAGTTTTCTCCACAATCTTCTCTTCCTTTTTCTTTATTTTAAAGATATCCGACGTCGTCGTCTCTTTGCTGTTCTTCGGCTCCACCTCTTCCTCCTTTTTGTCCAGTTTCTCCTCCAGGAAGTCAATCTCCTGCTCTAGCTCTGCCAGTTTCTTCGGGTCGGACTCAAACTCGTCTTCCACCTCCTCGACGTCCTCGTACTCCTCCACCTCGATGCCGTCCATCGTCTTCTGCAGCTGCGTCTTCACCTTGTTCAGCTCCAGCAGGCCTTCCTGGAGGTCTTTGCACACCTGCCGGATCTTGGCGGCGAACTTGGTCTTGGCTCCCTTGTGGAGTTTGTGGGAGTCTTTGGCGAGGAAGAAGATGTCCAGGGCGAGGAAGAGGGCGGACATGACGCCCGTGGTGACGCTGACGGCCTGGACGGCCTTAGCGGCGCCGCCGGCTGCGCCCAGAACCTGAACGGTGCTGATGAGTTTATCGGTGTTGATCATGAGGGCTTTCCCCGCCCGGCCGCCCTCCTTCATCACGTGTTTGATGTTGTGGTTTAGAGCCTTTTTGGCGGCACTTTCTGAGTATTTCTCAAAATCCCATTCCTCCAGGGTGTTCATGCCCTCCTGCAACGGGAAGCAACAACACCAGACGATTAGCAGCTGCGTTTCCTTTAACCGTAGAAATGTGAAAAATGAAATGAAAATAAATCATCTTAATGGAAACACTCATGAGTGTTCATAAAAAGTTGAGCGCAAAAACATTCTTATCATTTGTATTTCAGCAAAATACGGAGATTGTTTCCACAATAATTTGAAGCGATTATCGTTGCTTCAATAGTTTTTCATCAACTAGTGTTGATGAAAAGGAAACTAGTTCAACTGGCAGATTGTTTCAATTAAAGCAGGAAAAATGAATTAACCTGCAATCAGAACTGGAACTTTTTCGTCCACATTAAGGAATAATTTACTTAGAGAAGCTGCTATTTCCTGATGAAAAGTTAGTTGTCATAAAGTGTCAATAAACAAGATATTTGTTTGTTTGGACGGTTTGCAGCCGGCTCCATCACAGCATCACACAGTTCATAAAAAGCTTCGTGTCATTTCCAGAAAAGCGATTGCTCTTCAGTTTTCTGGAGGTCTTCAGAGTTTTAATGGACTTTTTAATAGATTTTTCCCACCATGTTTTCAGGGGAATAGTTTCCGTTTTGATATTTTAAAATAATTTCCTCACCTGAACAACTCCAGGCACTTCCTGATGTCCTGGATCTCCTCCTGGTAGCCCTGGATCATCTTCTCCACCTTCTTGCGGTCCATGTTGGAGTGCACGGTGTCTGTGATGTTGGCCGTCGCCGACGTGATGCTGCCGGCCGTCGCCACGCCGATCCCCACCGCCGTGACGATGATCGACGCCCCGAAGGTGAACGGAGCCAGGATGAGGCCGGTGATGGTCGCCACGCTGCCCGCCACGCTGGCCACGCCCCCTCCCACAGCGGCCGTCCCGTCTTCTTGTGGAACTCGTCTGCGGCGTCGGCCATCGACAGCTCCAGGATGTGGTGCTGCAAGGACGCCCCCCGCTGGTTGAAAAGGTGAACGAAAACACGGGCTGCCATGTAACTCGATCGGCTGCCTGCTCCATCGCACTGCAGACAGAAAGTACAAATCAAAACATCAGGATGGAAATGGAAGGAGTTTCACAGGAACAAATAAATCAAAACTGCAGATTTGACACATTATTTTGTTGTTTGGCCAATAAAATGAACATTTTGACTTAATTTAGCTTCTGATCAAAATATTACACTTATTTTTATAGGTTGTTTTTGTTGATGAATTTATCTTAAAAAAACAAATGAATTCAACTCACTTTGAATCTGATCACATGGTTGGACTGAATCACTACTTTATAGATTTCAGTAAATTTTATGTTTTTGAAGCGTCTTCAGAAATGACGGAGTATTGATGAGAATAGTCATAACACAACTTTATTCTTTTTTTACTCCATCTTGTAATTTTTAAAACTTTATTCCCTTATTATTATTTTTTCCTTTATTCTCATAATATTTTGTCTTTATTTTGGTATTTTTTTTTCTACTTTATTCCTGTAGTTGTGTGACTTAAATCTTGTAATATCATGAGTTTATTCATGTAGTTTTATACATTTTTTACATTTTTTTATCCTGGCCCTAATACAATCATTTTTGTAAATTAAACTTCTGAATGGACGGATGCACAAATGGACAGAGAAATGCAACATTTTAAAAAATGGGACAAGGAATAAAGCCTGTAAATGTAATCCCAGTAAAATAAGTCTTTTCCTTTGAAGTTCTTACATTTGCTCATCTTCCTCCTGGAAATTTGAGGTCTCGTTCCACTCGGTCCAACCTGGAAACCAGCGGCTCAAATCCATCAGAGAACAAGAAACAAACACGGAACCAGATTTATGTTCAATTCAAACCAGTCTGATATCAACCTTTCAACCGAGTTCCACCACTCCATCAGCTCGTTGTTCTCCTGCAAACGCAGAAGCTTCTGTTAATCTGGAGACAAACTGCTCCGTTATTTAACACCCTGGTTTAATCCCACCTGCTCCATCTGGTCACGCTTTCTTCAGTGGGATATGCTGCCATCTCCACCGGCCACCTCCACCGTGCTCTCCTGATTTACAAATAGTTCAAGTTTATGGAGGTTCTTTTGTTTTCAATCAGAAAAACACACAAATATGTCTTATTCTCATAAAAGGAAAATATTTTGGCTCTGACAATCTGGATTTTCATTCAATCAGAGATGCTGTTTAAGTTCTGTTTCAATACTGAAATAATGCAGGAAGAAACAGTAAAACATTTTAAAGGTTCATAATGTCAAACAGGAACTTTCAGTTTGAAATAATTTCAGCTAAAAACTCCAACATCCTTTAATCAGTAAAGGAATCCATCAGTCTACTGAAAAAACCTCCTTTTTAATTCTTTATTTGTGGCAATAAAATCCAGAATAAGAAAATAATCCTTTAAAGATGCTTAGGATGTGGAGTTATATGTAAATATTATAATAAAGATGAGAAAATAAATCATTTATTTATTAATAACTTATGGAAATTAATTTATTCTGACCTGTGGAGAGTTCAGATCCTCCATCTCGACGCTCTCCTCAATAGGAGGCATTTCACTGGATTCCTGAATAGATAAAAATAAAACTGTTAAATAAATTAATCTGTCTGTAGGAACGAATTAAGTCAGTTTCATATGCAAACCCAACATTAAGCAGAAAATACCTCTTTGGACATTCTGGGAAGAGTTTTCTTGACTCGAAAAGACACAACCTATCAAACGTGAACAAGAACAAAATAAAACTTCAAGAAAATTTTACATTTCGTCACTATAAATAACTCCAAACTCAGTTTATTGTTCTGCAACTTAGAAATGACAAAGTAAAAAATAACTTGCTCTTCGTTTCTCCTTTATGCTTCTCTTGCAACTCAGTCCGCGTCCAGCAGGTGGCGCCGCGTCTTCACCTTCCTGCAAACCAACAAAAAAAGAAACAAAAACATCATCGGGTAACTGGAACATAAAACTGCTTAATTTTAGATTTATATAGGATTTTATTCAATATTAACTTGTTTTTATTTTATTTTCTGCAATTCAAATCAAACTCGAGATTCTCAAAATTCAACAAAAAGTCAAAACTAAAATCTTATGTAAATTAATTTCAGGTGTAAATTTTTTTTAATTTGATCATCAAGGTTTACAGATAATGAAAAAACCCAAACCAAAAAATATTGTCAAAGAGCAATAAAGGATTTTAATACAAAAACTCTTAAATGTTTTTTATCTTTATAAACTCTGTTTGCCACATTGTTTGTACAACTTTTTCCACCACATTTTTTCCTTCCACTCAACTTACCATTAATATAAATAGACAGAACTGATCATGAACAGCCGGGTCTTTGTATTACTCCATGTGGCATGAATCTAATTAACTAATGATTTAAAACTAAAATCATTAGTTTTAAACATTTCGATTGTTACTAGCAGTAGCAGAATATTTATATTTATTTATAGAATTAGGTTGTTTTTACCTGCTGCTCCGTATTTCTAGGCGTTCGTTTGAACATCACAGACAGCCCGGCTTTTTTCTCCTGTTTCATAAACATGAAGGTTTAAATTAAGAGGGAAAAAAGTGTTAAGATGTGAAATCTAAGGGATTTACCTTCGTGGTACAAAGATTATCTGTACTGGCTGATAATTCTTGTTGAGAGGTGCTGTCGTCCTTTAAAAAGAAACATTTAATCATTTTAAGTAAAATTCAAACAAAATGATACAATATAGACAAAACCTTGAGATTATACTCAAATATTTGTATATTTTTAGTGAATTAACAAACGTAAAATACAGTTTTCATGAAAAAGCTCAGAAAATATCTTAACTCTGGTTTAAATGTTTGGATTTAAACTCACTTTAATCCTCAGATCTGAACAGTTTAAGAAAATAAAGCTACATGTTTTGTGAAGCTCCAGGAGCAGAAATGACTAAAGGGATTGTCAATGTTTGGTCTAGTCAAAGGTTTCAGGCTCTGGCTCTTACGTTCCCAGCCTCAGTCAGGCTGTCCCAGCTGGACGACAGCTGCTTCGTCAGCGGATCCTGGAAAAGAGAAAAATCATTTCAACATTAAATTTTTTTATAATATATTGCTCATTTTATAAACTTAAAATGAGAGAAAACTAATTGATAAGTAACTTTTCAGCAAGATATAGAAACTTTATTAAGAAAATAATTTCTTAATATTGATTAAAAAAAAGTTCGAGTTCTTTTGGCAGATTATTTCACTTATAAAAATATATTTTCCCATGTTACAGATTATACAATAGAAATTCAATATTTTCATGAATATCACGTATAAATCTGGCTTTATATTGGCAGGATTGTTTCCCCGTTGAGCTCAAAGTGTCTATTTTAAAGAAGAATAAATATGTTGAACATCAGAGATGAACAGTTTAGGTTTTACGAATAAAATAAACACTTTTGCTGCTTTAAATGATTTCATCACCTCAGTAGCAACGGAGCGCGGAGACGGTTTAGGCGACTTTTTAAAGAAGCCTGTAAGTCCTCCCGTTTTCTCCTGCAGCAAAAGATAATTCCATATAAAAAGAAAGTGAATATTTGTGATGAGAAACTAAATTAAGTCAAACTTTTAATTTTGATTAAATTTTCTTTTACTTTTGCTGGATTTGCCTCCAGCAGATCTTCAGTGCTGCCAAACAAGGTTCCGTTTTCGCCGGTCGCATTTGAGCCCTAAAGACACAACAGAGATTAAAATCTGGATGAAGAAACAAAAATGTTTATTCTACCTCCTCTGCAGGCTTCGGACTTCTCTTAAACATGCCGCTGAAAATATTTTTGTCCTAAAAATAGAAAAAAACAACCAGATCTAGAAGGTGGATTCAAAGCGAAGCGTGTTTGATTTTCAAACTTTGGAGGAAAAACACATTGATTGGTTTTAAAAGGAGAAGAAGTGAAGTTCAGGTGTTCGTTTAACTGACCTCGTCCAGCAGGTTGTCAAAGCTTGAAGATCTTTTGAATATTCCAGCCTGGCCTCCTTTTTTCTCCTGCAATCAGACAAACATAATTTCTGTCTATTAATTTAATGAAAAACTGAATTGGACTCAACAGTAATCATGGAGTTATCTCTGTAGCCACATATTTAAACTGCAGGAGGATAAACTGATCACTTTCTCCTACTACTCTCCAATTTCAACTATTTGCTGCAATTTAAACTACAGCTGAAATGATTAATGTGACCCATATTCATGTTTATGCTTATAGGAGGTGCAAGAGCAACATTGTCACATTTATTAATCCAATAATATTAATAGACTTAGGATATTAAATCAGCTTTAGCAGCAGCTGGTCTCATCCACATTACAATAATTTAGTTTATTTAGTATTTAAGGTAAAAGCTGCTCAGTAGCTATGAGATTTATGACATAAATCGTATAATTATGTGGATTCAATGTGTTTTATGAGGTTTAAGTCAAAAATCTCATAAAACATACAACTGTAAAAAAATGTACAACTCAAATAACGCAAAAACACAAAATCTGACCAAGTCATTTTTGTCTAGTTTCTAGTGCAAATATCTTAGAAAAAATTCAAATACGATTAACTTAAAAGTAACTTTTCAGTAAGAAATAGAAGTATGTTTTAAGTAAATAATTTCTTAATATTTGTTAAAAAAAAACAAAAAAACTAGTTCCCTTGGCAGATAGATTAACTTAAAATGTGAAAAATGTCTTGTTTACTCAAATCATTATAAAAAGTTAGGTTTAATTAGTTTGTCTTATTTCAAGTGTAATAAAATTGACCAAAATTAGTGGGTAACATTTTGTGTTTTTGCAGTGTATTAAATGTTTAAAGCTTAAAGAAAACTGCAAACGTTTATAGTTTCTGTTCAGATAATGAATGAAGAAACGTTTTCAGCCCATGTTCACGTTAAAAAACGAGAGGAAGTGGTTTAATGAAATGGAAACCTTTGGGCCGGTCAGGTCCTCACTGCTGGCGGACAGTCGTCTGTCAGTGTCCATGTCCTGCAGGCAGAAGCAGAAAACGGTGAAGAAAAACCCAGAATCAGGAGTTTTGTTTACATCTGATGACGCTGCAGTACCTGTGTCTCTGCTTTAGCGCCCTCTGCTGCTGGCTTCAGTGTTTTCTTAAACTTGTTGCTGAAAATGTTTTTCTCCTATAAATACGACACTGAAAGTCAGTAAACGTTTTGAGATGAGGAGACTGAAGGTGTTGAGATCCAGACCTTGTTATTCTCAGCCAGGTCTTCACAGCTGGCTGACGGATCCCTCTGAGCCTCTCTGTCCTGAAACAGAAAGTCATTCAAAAGGTTTTATATATGTTTTATAAGACTTTATAAAACATTGGACAACAACAACCGCTTACTGGAGTCTCAGTCTTTTCTTCTTTGGGCGTCTTTTTGAGGAGTCCACTGAACAGACCTCCAGCTTTCTCCTGATGAAACGTCAGAATAAAAGCTTGAGGATAAACCAGGAGGTTTGATGTGAGTTTATTGTTTCCTGGGTTTTTCCCTCACTGACCTGCTTGTTGTCAGATAAGTTCTCGGTGCTGGCCGAGATGTCAGAGTCGGAAACGGCATCCTGGAAACAAAAACCAGAGACTTTCAGACCGACAGCCACGGTATCCTGCAGGGAATCGGTGAGAGAGGAAACATGTTGATTTGACGGGTTAATGTTACCCATCAGTTTCTAAAATAACTGTCGGAGGAAAAAGCAAACGAGAAAGAAAGGAGCATAAAAAGAAAGAACGAAAGGAAGCAAAGAGAAAAACTGAGCAAAAAAGCAAGCAAGGAAGAAAAAAAAACAAAAAAAAGGGAAAACAAGAAGCATATCTGAATTAAATTCAAATATTGAATAAAATCATTTTCAACTTTATACAACATCCTCAACGGGTTAAAAAGTGTCGGGAATGTGGAAAATTTGGAAGATTTCTTTCAGAGGAAGAGAATCATAAAGCCGCTGCATGTTTAAAACGCCACTGTGTGTCTTAATCACAGCTACACATTTGAACACATTTCCACCATAATTCCACCTTCTGCAGGTTTAAAACACATGTTCTTGTATTTTATAGATAAACACAAGGAGCTCTGGCCTTTTTCCATGAATTTACTTAATGAAGTGATAAAATGCTTGATGAAACATACTGCCTCAGTTATTGAACCTGTGCTTACGTGGGTTGGTTCACATGTTTTCTCCTCTTCTTCTTCTTTCTCCACATCTTCAGAATCACTTTCTGCTTTTCTGACCTGAGAATGAATAGAAGTGAAAACAGCTTATAAGAAGGAGAAACAAAACTGAAGCGATGTAACTTTTTACATCACTTATGATGTGATGCATATTCTTAAACTTAAAGAAATAGACTTTACAGTGAAAGGTTTAAATAAACGACTTCATAATAAGGCTATATTTTGGCATTCATGATTTTACCTTCAGGGCAGGAGAGGATGATTTCTCCTTGGGTGTTTTGCAAAACATTTCAGCGAGGAGACCTCCGTTCTCCTGATAACACAGAGAATAAAAAACAGTTATATTTAATGTTTCCACACAAGGTAATTTGAGGATAATATCAATATTTGTGTTCTATAAAAAAAGGAAGAAGTGGGATCTATATCTCTTTCCAGTCGTGTTTTTTAAAAAGACATTTCTTCCCCTTCACTTGTCATCAATATGACATGAAGACTTTGAAAGAGCGGAAGCAGAACTGGTTTGTGTTGGACTGTACCGGTTTGTGTTCTGCATTGTGTTTCTCTTTGCTATTGTCTCCCTGGAGCAGATCCCAGTCATCAGCAGTAGCGATTTTTGGTTTGGGCTGTTGCCCAGGGCGGCACTAAAACAGGTGGAGGGATAAAACCTTTTTTCTAAAGTATATTTATTTGTCAGTCTTGAAAACCTTTTAAATGCGTGAAGTTAGTAATGTGTGGGCTGGGATTATGGAGGTTATTATACATGTTTTGTGCAGGTTTGAACAACATTTTGATCTGACCCAGAATTTGAAAGGTTTCCTGCATTTTGATTGGTTAGGAGGCAGCAGAAGGCGGGGCCTGCCCAGGGCAACATTCATGCAAAAATCACCACTGGTCATGAGTGTTTTTATTTAGAGTTCAGATGCTTTTTCCACATAAAATTGAGTAAAATAGTCTCCAAACCAAAAAATAAATAAATACTTTGCAAGAATCAATAAAGTTTAAAAGATGTGTTAAAGAAGTACAAAAAAGCCTAAATGCCAGGAAAAGGGTTATCCTAAAACCAGGGTGTCCAAAACGAGGCTTGCAGTCGTTTGAAGGTTTGTTTTTGATCCCTGACCATAAATTAAAAATATGAGTAATTATTGCCTGACAGCAAAGACCCAGATAGACACTTTCTATTATAATTATTTGAAAGAGATTTTCAAACACAATCCAGGTTTCTGCTTTTCCACTCAGATTTATTGTACCTTAATTGCCACCAATTATCCTTGGCCCAATAAAGAAAGAGCTGGCCTACTTACCCTAAAAAGAAGAACAATTTACCTCTAAACCTCTAAATGTGGAAAGTACATGCCTGTCTTTTAACAATGCAATTGTGCAATACACTTACTATCATCTTGTATAAACAAAATTAATTTTCTAAAACAAAACAAGGACTTCTTTGTTGCTTAAAATCTTGCATGTGTAGTATTGAGCAGATTTCTTTTATTTTCATATCTTAAAAGTTAATTTTAGTGCTTTCAACTACACAATCTTTCACAAAACATAATGCTTATATAAATCAATGCCCTCTTTTTAATTCACAAACAGGAAATTTTGTGAATTTCCAGTAAGCAAATGTTGCTTACTGTAAATGTTGTTTACAGTAAGCAACATGTGCTTACTGTAAATGTTGGCGTTTTCTTTTTGGCTGCGTCGAAACATTCCCACTTATTGCTCTACCAAAAAAAAGCACAGAAGAAGACATTATGAATGCTGTTTGTAAGACAGCTGGGAGCTGGCGCTTTGAAGCTGCAGGTAAATACCCGCTTGAAATCCATATCATCTGCAGCAGCTTCTGTTTGGTCAGTTTGTCTGGAAGTCTGGTGGGAAAGAAGAAGACATTTTATTTAAAACGTTATTAAATAAACAAGTCAGGATTTGATATGAATGCGCCTCTGTTCGGTAAATTCATACCTTTCTGGGTTCACTGGGTCTCGTTGCTGCTTTTGGTTCCTGCCCAAATAAGAAGAGTAAATAAAAGATGGAAGATATGTGAAACTTTAAGAAGCTCCTTCACCAAACTGCTGAATCACATGTAAATAAGAATAAAAATAGGAATAAGTCTAAATCTGAAGTTGTGAAGCTGTTTTTTAAGAATGAACTGACTGTTTTATACATTTCCTGCGAGTCTCTGCGAAGCAGCAGCAGTTTCAGACGGTTTTAGTTTGGTATATTGTTGCTGGATGCTGCCATTCAGCTAATAAAATATATTTAAAAAAAAAACAAAAATAAGAATCTTCTGGATATTGTTCAAGATTAATATTATTATTATAGCAAGACTATACAGTCATGAAAGAAATCAGGACAGTCCATTAAATATTCACTTAGTTAATAACAGAATATTGACATGTAACCTGTTAAGTTATGCCTGAAAAGTGACGTGAAGCAGGTAAATTTCTTTTGACTTAACTTTTTCTTAAATCAAAGATATAAACAAAAATCTGTTTTCCAACTGAAGACAGAGTTTCTGCAGGTTTTCCCAAAACACATTTAAGACTTTTAAAGACCTTTTAAAGAGCATTATGAATGAAATGTAAGAACTAAATCTCCAAAGAAATGCATAAATTTGGTCCAGCCACCTGGCAAAAACAAGCTAGTTAGCCAGCTAGCAACAGCATGTTAGCAGTGAGTTACAGAACGCAATGAGGACGTTTACATGTGATTCAACCTTATGCCTGATAGAAAAGTCCCACTAGAAAAAGAAGTGTATAGTTTATACAGTTAAACAGTCCTACAAAGACTAAATTTAAGACCAGCTTACTTCTTTAAAGACATTTTAATGCCAAATAAAAGACTTTATAAGGATTTGCAGACAGTGTGTGCATGGTGAATTTTATGATGCTGATTTGAGAAGCATCATAAATTCTGTTGCAGCAAAGCAAATCCAGGCCAAGACATTTCTACCTCCATGAGCTTTTTTTCCCAGGAACTCTGTATCTGATTTGCACCAAACATCTTGTCTGTTATGCTGTCTAAACAATGAAATTCTCATTTCTTTAAAGATGAGAAGTCGATATTTGTTTGAGACAAGTCCTTTCTCCTTGCACACTGTGATGAAAGAGTAACTGGTGGGTTTTTGGAGTCTTCACTTTCACTTTGACTCTCAGGGGTGCAAAACATTGTAAACGCCTGAGTTTTAAACAGGAAAACTTCCTTCAAAATGACCAGAAATAACGTTCTCATAAAGCGCATTTTATTCAAATGAGATTAAATTTATACCCATATTTTTGTAACTATTTGAACTGATAATAAATATCAAAATATTTAGCAGCATTCAAATTGTTTTACATGAATATACATACCCAGAATTAAACTCAATGAAATACATAAATATAAGATATTTTTTAGACTATATCAGTGCGTCTCACAGTTTTAACACAATTTTCTCTTCACATAAAATTTCTTGAAATATTTTATTTTAAAAGTTATAAATACCTCGCTGTTTGAGGCTGCTGCTTTTTTTATTCTGTATTCTGTGTGAGTCAGCTCCTGCAGAGAAAAATAACTAATAGGTCAATTAATAATCCCAGTTGGAGATTTTTAAACATTCTAACTTTAATTTTACTGTTAAGCATCTTTAAACAAAATAACACCTTATTTTGTTCTTTTAAACACACTGTTTACAAACCTAATCCACTAAATGGTCATTATTTTGTAAGAAATTACATTTTTATAGAAAGTGTTCAATAATTAATTTAAAACTAAAGAAATAAAAGAAAATACTTCAATATTTATGAAGAAAATCTAGATAATGTCACTTTTGTCACCAGTGGATCTGAACTCTGTTGGCTGTTAAAACACAAATTACAAAAAGCAAATTGCGTCAACTTGCAAGGCAGAAGGATTATGTTTTCACACAGGGACAGCTTGGTTTATGTAGCATTTTCCCTTAATGAACAAACCATAACTTGGTACTGTCACGTTGTCATCAGGAAGTGGATTATTGTAAGACTTCTGACATGTTTTTTGAATAATCTACATTGAAAACTTCCTGTTTTTATTGTTAAAAATATGTAAAAAGGGGGAAAAATGTGTAATGTCTATGAGAATAATTGTGAGTTAACTATTATTCTCATACGATAAATTGTGATGAAATATAAAAGATTTGTCAGCTCTAAAAGTGGAGTTTAATTTTGCATAGGATGCTTTGTCCAGATGCGTAGGTTGAGTTCACTGCTCTTTTGCATAAAAACTAAAATCAGGATGTAACAAAAAAATAAAGCATGTCTTGTTAAAGTTAATGTTCTTTTTCTGAATAAGCAATGGATTTTACAGGTGAGTTCATAAACCCTCCTTTAGGCTTGATTAGTTTTAGATTCAACTTAAGCTCCAACGCCGGTCACTGAATCACATGTTTACAGATTTTAACAAACTCTAATAAAGCAGAATTAAAATTGAAACAAGCATATGTAAGTGTTTTGTAGCTTTGAGTAAAACTTTGAACTCACAGCATCTTTGGGTCGAGGAGGCATCAGAGGAGCTGGCTTCACGTCTCTCTCTGCCTCGTTTCTTTTGACCTGAAAACAAAGTTTCAGGGTTTTAACATCCTGGGATTTATTATAAAGCCCATTTATAGAAGCTCTTTCATTATTACAGGTTAATGGAAGACTTGAGTTTATTGCTCTACCTCTGAGGGCTTTGGAGGAGGTTTAGGCTGGAGGAAACAAAACAAAATCACTGAATGAGTTGTGTCGGTTTGATTTCAAATATTCTCAGATCCCAGCCCTCTATCGCGAAACAAAGAGTCATAACCCAATATATTTATATAAGTTTATCAATTCATAATGTACAACATTGTAAGGGCATCTAATATTTTTACCAAGCAATGTTCATATTGCTTGTATGAAGCTCATGCAGCTGAAAAGAAAAACAAATTCAGAAGGAAAATGGTGGAAAAATTAATTTAAATTGAAGATGTTAGTGAATCTAAATATCTTTCTGCATTTAAAAAAAAAATTATGATGAAGCAATACAGCACTGGATAAACTGGTGTTTTATTTTGCATTTTTGTTATTTTCTATTTTAAATGCATTTAATTGTCTTCTGAGCTGAACAGCTTTTTTCTTTTTATGTGAATATAGGTCAGCTATATGTTCATACTTCTTTCTGCCCTTTTCCATTCATTATACTTTTATTTATTCCATGAACTATTCATTTATTATTGAGTGAATAAAATGAAAAGCCAGCTACAGATACACATTTAAAATAAGGGTGAACTTTGTATATCAGAGGAACAAATAAAAGGAAATGGCGTTGATGTTGTAAAGGTTCATGCAGAAACATGCATGGCTCTGGGAATGCAGAACATCCCAGAAACCTGTCGGTTCAGTTTGAGTAATGTTAGTGTAGCCAGGATTTGTTTGTCTCACTCTCACATGAGGCATGTTCAGGAAGTTTGATTTGTGAGATATTTCATCACTGCTCTGAAATGTGACACTTTATTAGTTGCCATAAGCCACCAAGCTGCCAGCAGAGACACACTATTCCACTTGAAGGTTCAGCAAACACATTAAAAACAGTAAAAACTGTTAATAAAACAGAAAATGGAATCATTTATTTTAATATAGACATGCAAATATTTAAAACAATTTTTTTTCTTAAATTATTTACCAACAGATTAGAGTTTGTTTATAATTGATATTTTACGTACTAGCTAAGGTTTCATTTTATGCATGTATTTCATGCTTTTATGTGCAAATCATTGTTTATAATTCACATTGTGGAAAGCAATAAAACAAACACTTATTGTAAAGAACAAGCTTACAATAATTTATTAAACTTATTTTTTGAAAAATTATTTTTCTTTATTCCAAAAAATTATTTTTTTGGCTGCTTATACTAATCAATTTGCTGAAAATATATATGGTAAATCTAAAAAATACTAATAGAAGCAGAGCTCAGATTAACATTTTTATTACATCATGATGTTGGAAGCAGGGTTTTGATAATTTCTCATTACAGTTCAGTTTGATTTTGTTGTAACTTTTGTCTCTTTTTAGAGTGTTTGCTAGTTTTTAGTATTATTATCAGCTAAATATTGTTTAGTTGTAATTAGTTATAGTAGTAGTTTTAGTTTTTTCATACTTTGGTTAATTATGGGTGCAGATCTCAAACAGGTCAAAGTTTTGTCATCATGTTTACAATTGTTGGGTGGTGAATACTCACCAAAACACACATTTCAAAAAAATTATTTCATTGTTGTTGAACAACAAATAATTCTGGCGTTTTTGCTGTTTTTGCAGACTAGCATAAGCGTCGCCAGCAGAATTACAGAGCGTTGCAATTTTCCAACATCTAACATAATCTAGTTGTGTCACATTAGTTCAAAAGGTTGATAAATAGATTTATAAACACATAAATGAAGGATCATATATCTGCAATTCGAGTATGTTTTAGTAAGTTGTATAAATACACAACATAGTTACAGTTAATTATAGTTTTTCCCTATTTATTGCCACTTTTATTCATTTCAGTTAATAAAAACGTTTCGGTTATTTTGTTTGTTTTTAACTATCATAACCTCGGTTGAAGTCATTTTTATGTTGTATAAATATAAACTGATCATGTTTTATGTTTGCAGGTTTCCTCACCGGTTTCGGCTTCTTTTTGACCTCTGGCTTCATCATGCAGGCCTCCATCCTGCCTGCAGGAGCAACACAAAGACAGTTCAGCAGGAAGCTTTTGGGTTTGTGAGTGAGAATTATTCATATAAAGAGAAGAATATAAAAGTTAGAAACCAGCGACCTCTGAATACATTCGCTAATGTATTCAGAGGTCGCTGAATAACCTAATAAACTTGGATTAACATCATTATCATCAGGAAAACACTGGTCATTTTATGCTAATTTGAATAATCATTAAACTTTCATTTCATGCATTACTGCAAGACATAAAAATGAACTGAAAAGAACTTTAATTACTGGCTTAAAGTTTTGTTTTTTTATCAGCTTTTCTACCAGCTAAAATTTTGAGCAAAATGTGGACAGATTCAGTTTCCACTAGATTCCACAACTAACTTAAACAAAACTCAAATCTTCTAATCCTCTGGAGACAACAGGCCAAAGGAGAACAAAAATCAAGACAATTATCGACATTCCTGAGCATCCTCTTCCTTAAACTGCTTTCCAACAGAGTGTCTACAGTCAGAGGCCTCTTCAGATCCACTGTAACACAGACTGCTGCAGTAGATCCTCCAAAGAACCTTAGATGACATGAGTTAAAACAACATTTAATCTCCCTTTGGGATTAATTAAATATTATCGAACTGAATTTGAATTGAAGAAAAAAAATACCTTTTTTTTGGCTAAAACAATAAAGAAAGAATAAATCTTCAGACTTAAAATTTTTAAATTTTGATTATTTTTTTCACACTTTATAAAATACAAGTATTCAATTTATACTTGATATTTATTCAGTGAGCAGAAAGTTACAGAAAATGAGAATCAATAAAAAGATGAAAATAAAGAAAGAAAAGCTCAAGATCATAATGAATGTAGGACAAAAAAATAATTATACGAGAAAGAAAATGAGGAAGAAAAGGCAGATGAAAAATGAAAAAAAATCTTTAAAATTTATATATATATATATAATTTCCAAATGATACACCAGAAGGAACATAGAAGATAACGTTAGAACACAGATTGTGTTCAAACAGGAGGTCTCACTTCAACATAAATTGTAGATGTGCGTTTGTGTCTGGTGCATTTCTGGTTAAGACGTTCTTATTCGTGATTCAGTGACCAGAAATTGCACTCGAGAGTAGTAATACTTCATAAATAAATATACCCTATGAAAACATGTAGATATCTAAAGATACACATCTGAAGAGCAACTGAAAATCTATACATCAGGAACAAAAGTTGAAGAATGGAAAGGAGCGAGTGAGGAAACAGTTTTAATCTCCTGATAAGTTGTCTTCGTACATTAGCAGAAATGAATTCATAAATCAAAAACCAGGATGAATGAAGCTAAAAATTCACCCGACTGTCATAATTAAACAGAATTTCATCCCACACTTTCTGTACAATCACCACTGTATTTCACTTTGACAGTGACATCTCTGACATATGTTCGTAAATTAAACAATAAACCCATTTAACTGTCTGCAGCTATGTATCCTTTTTATTGTGTTGAACTGAAATCTGAAAATAGCCGTTGGTACATTTTAGCTAAAGCGCTCGCGCAAACTTAGAAGCTCCACAAAGATCGTCGATGGACGAAATTGACGTTTAAAACCATCAACGGATGAAACCAACCGAAGTTAAGTGAGGCCTATCAGCTTGAACCTACCGGAGATCCTTCAGAGATCCCTCTGCGATCCTCTCCTCAGAGTTTCAACAATGATTGATTTATAAAAAAAAAATAAAAACAAACGGGAGGCTCCTTCACCGTCATCAGACTCCCAGCAGTTTTAAAACTTCGCCACTCCCCGCTCTGCAGCATCTGCACTCAAGATGCGTTCAGGAGCCGTCCGAAAAACACGGAAAACAACACTTACTTGACAAATCATTCAAATGTTTATGTATTTATTCCACTTATTAATGTTCAAGGGATTTTAACGAGTAGTTCAGCAGATGGACATTGATATCAGAGTTATTTTTTATTTCTTTTTGCTATGCAGGTTAGGAAACATAATATGTATATATTGATTTATAAACTGCATGTATGCAGATCATAAGGTTTGAACATTTAATTTTTGTCATTTTACTTCCTTTATATAATAAACTATTTAAAAAAACAGATTTTGTTCTTATTTATTAATGTTCTCAGTTTATAGGGAAAAAAACTTCAGTGTTTATATTTTGTCAATTTCATCTTGGATTTGAAGTGGTTGACTTTTTAATGTTGTATTTTTCCTTTAATTTTTAATTTTATTCAATAAAAAGCTATTTGTTTACATTAATTTGTATATCCTTTTTATGCATGTTTTTAGGTTGCGTTAAATGCTGTGGAAGTGCTTATAAATATACATTTTTATAAATAATGGTTATTTTGTGCTGTTTGAACTTTTCTACAAAAGTATTTATATGTGTATTATTTTCTATCAAATATAAGTTACAAGCTATGAATTTACTAGTTCTTTTAGTGCTAGGAGTGACACTAAATAATGTAAATAATAGTTCAGTGCGGATGTTGTGTGTACATGTCTAAAATTTGTCATCACAAATGTCTCTGTCAGTGAAACAATGATGCAGCTAGTCTATTCATGTGTGCTGCCTGTCCATCCCATGTCCTCATGTTTGCTAAGCTGTGTTCATCTCCACGTCTGGTAATCCGCAGATTCCGACACCACCCAAAGGTGACTTCACCTGTGGAGCAAAGCATCTTTAAACAAACTCAAACACACCCGCAGAGCTTCTCTGCTACAAAATTATCTTGGTGAAACTTCTTGTTGCATGAGAAAAACACTTCCTGACCAGCAAAAAGAGCCCACTGAGCAAACGCATCAGTGTTTCAAGTTTCTCACCTTCTTTGGGATGAAAAGATGATTGGAGAACCTTTGCCTCCTCTGGTTTCTGGCTGTGAACTCACCTGGGACAAGGGGCGTGGTCAGGTTTGGTGGCTACATGTGTCTGCATGCAACTCACAAGTTTCACAACAGTCATGATTTTTGCATGTCAATAGTGATTTTCTAAAGTTAGAAAAGGATGCGGGGTAGAGAGGCAGAAGTTGGAGTTGAAATGCTCGATAACCAGCGTGCATTGAATATCACATGAGGAATTCACAGATCATGTAGCTGAAAATCTTGTTTCACCTTCAGCTTCAGCTTTTCTACACATGGGTTACTGAGTTTGTTGTCACATGTTGAGTCCAACAAAATTAATTAAAAACATGCAGCGAAAGTTTGTAAATGTAGTTTATTTTTACCAAGATAAAAAGAGAATTAGAAGGCAAAATATGTTGTATTCGAACACAATATATTAAAAAAGTTAAAGTGTAGCTTTGTCTGAGTAGCATATAGTTGCTGTGAGAAGTTTATCACTCGCATAAATGTTGAAATTTTAGTTACTCTTTCTACAGTGTGCAATAGAAAAAAAACACTGGTATTTGGGTAAATGCCTGTCAGCAACATGCAAAGAGACGTCATAATGTGACATCAAGTTCAATGTAGTCACTCTTCTTGACAGAAGATCTAGTTTATCTTAATTAGGCCCGAGCAGCTAAGCGCTGCGAAGGCCTATTGTTTTCCTATTGTTTATTAGGCCCGAGCAGCTAAGCGCTGCGAAGGCCTATTGTTTTCCTACTGTTTCTTATTAGGCCCGAGCAGCTAAGCGCTGCGAAGGCCTATTGTTTCTGTACTGTTTCTTATTATTATTATTATTCTGCCCTAAAGAGGGGTCTTTTTGGGGGCTTTATCATTTTCAAAACTCACCAAACTTGGCGGACGCGTAAAGGGAGTTTCAAAATTTTGTATTTTAAGGTCATTGCAAAAATCCCATAAAAAATGGCTCAATAGCGCCACCTACAAATTTCAAAGGACCCTTTGCTATTCACTTACTTTATCCTAGAGACATGAAATTTGGTACACTTGTAGAGCTCCCCAAGATGCTCAAAATTTACAATTAATGTCATAGTGCAAGTATCACAGGAAGTCAGCCATTTTGGATTGAAGGTCCAATTTTGGGGCCATTTTTGCCGTTTACAGCCTTCGTATTTGATCGAACTCCTCCTAGGGATTTCGATTGATCGGCTTCAAACTCGGTCAGTCTGTTCATAAGGCATGTCCCATCTAAAGTTATCAAAACGGTGAGTTTTTGAGTATGCTGAAGGGGGGTTAGCAGGGGTCAAAGTTCACCTACTCGCCATAAAAAAATAAACTGCTATATCCTACACAGAAACTCACAGAGGCACCAAAGTTTCTGTGATTGATCATTATCGGGTCTCCTACAATACCCTATGGTCGAATGATGACATCACTTAGGCCACGCCCCATGAGAACAGGAAGTGTCATGTTTTACTGTGGACGGTCGCTATCTGACCCCTTTGACCTCATCAACATGAAACTGTGCCCAGACACAGAAGACATGTTGGTGTATTGAGGATTCCAAGCCCGACCAGCTTCAATGGAGCAGGTGGGCGTGGCGGCGTGGCGAAGTGACCTCTAACGCCATCGCCATACGTTTGGCTCTCAATTCCACATTTTCGGGCCCAACTGCTCCAAACTCACAAGGATGGATCCTCATCCACTCCCCGACAGGAATCCATCACAATATTTGGTGGGCGTGGCCTAATTTCTCTATAGCGCCCCCTAGAAAACTTTAAATGATCAGCCCCAAGCCATGCTTTAACCTACAATTACGAAACGTTGTACACATGTGTACCATGTCAGGACTTACAAAAAAGTCTCTTGGAGCCATGGTCTAAACCCCACAGGAAGTCGGCCATTTTAGATTGAAGTTCAAATTTTGACCCCATTTTTGCCATTACAGCCTTCGTATTTGATCGAACTCCTCCTAGGAATTTCGATTGATCGGCTTGAAACTCGGTCAGTCTGTTCATAAGGCATGTCCCATCTAAAGTTATCAAAACGGTGAGTTTTTGAGAATGCTGAAGGGGGTTAGCAGGGGTCAAAGTTCACCTACACGCCATAAAAACATAAACTGCTATATTTCCTACACAGAAACTCACAGAGGCACCAAATTTTCTGTGATTGATCATCATCGGGTGTCCTACAATACCCTATGGTCGAATGATGACATCACTTAGGCCACGCCCCCTGAGAAAAGGAAGTGTCATGTTTTACTCTGAATGGTCGCTATCTGACCCCTTTGACCTCATCAACATGAAACTGTGCCCAGACACAGAAGACATGTTGGTGTGTTGAGGATTCCAACCCGACCAGCTTCGATGGAGCAGCTGGGCGTGGCGGCGTGGCGAAGTGACCTGTAACGCCATCGCCATACGTTTGGCTCTCAATTCCACATTTTTGGGTGCAGCTGCTCCAAACTCACAAGGATGGATCTTCATCCACTCCCCGACAGGAATCCATCACAATATTTGTAGGGTGTGGCCTAATTTCTCTATAGCGCCCCCTAGAAAATTTTAAATGATCAGCCCCAAGCCATGCTTTAACCTACAATTACGAAACTTTGTACACGTGTGTACCATGTCAGGACTTACAAAAAAGTCTCTTGGAGCCATGGTCTAAACTCCAGAGGAAGTCGGCCATTTTTGATTGAAGTTCAGATTTTCATCCCATTTTTGCCGTTTATAAACCATTTCAGTAATTCGCCACTTGGGGTCAGTATTGCTCCACAAATGAAACAGCAGATAAACAGGATGAAGAACAATATCAGTATTTCGCCAGTAGGTGTCAGTGTTCCTCCACCAATGACAAACAGATCCACGGGCGGATGGGCGTGAAAACTTTGTGAGAGCGTTGCCATTAAATTTCTAAAAGGATAGAAATGTCTCAGATAATTTTTGTTGAATTAAATCATGCAGTAAATGTAGCATTTTCTTACTTCTTCCAAACCATTTCAGTAATTCGCCACTCTGAGTAAGTATTACTCCAACAATGAAATAGAGTGCTTTAGAAACACAGCTGAAAATGATGAAAAATGACGAACTGTAGTACTTCGCCATGTGCATACAATCGGCTGTAAATGACACGTGGATCATCCGACTGACGCCAAATTGGATACGTATGACCTTTGTTGACCTCTAAAAAGAACAACAGCATTGAAATATATTTTGACTCCACTGCGCGTCCTACATTAATCCGCCAGCTATATTTCCTCGCTAAACCAATGAATCTGCACCACATTTTTTGCATCGTCAAGGAGCGACTCCGAACGCATCAGTGCGTACCGCCTGGTGGACAGGCGCGGAAAACTGCGCAACAACTTCTGTCTTAGCACGTGGCCAGCGTTGATGGAAACTGAGCAACAGCTTCCGCAGTGCGGCCGGAGGTGCTGAAAACTGCGTGAGAGCTTCTGTGGTGGCTGGCGTGAGGCGACGGTTGCTCGTACCCCGCGGTGGACAATAGGCCGGAGCGGCGCTTGGCTGCGAGGGCCGTTCGAGGCTGCTTGCAGCTTTAATTATTATTATTATTCTGCCCCCCTAAAGAGGGGCCTTTTTGGGGGCTTTATCATTTTCAAAAACTCACCAAACTTGGCGGACGCGTAAAGGGAGTTTCAAAATTTTGTATTTTAAGGTCATTGCAAAAATCCCATAAAAAATGGCTCAATAGCGCCACCTACAAATTTTCAAAGGACCCTTTGCTATTCACTTACTTTATCCTAGAGACATGAAATTTGGTACACTTGTAGAGCTCCCCAAGATGCTCAAATTTACAATTAATGTCATAGTGCAAGTATCACAGGAAGTCAGCCATTTTGAATTGAAGGTCCATTTTTGGGGCCATTTTTGCCGTTTACAGCCTTCGTAT